TTCATGAATCATGATACAAATTATACATACAATTTATAATAACATTTTTGTTGTAGTATTCAAAAGTATAGTAGAGAATCATACAAATAGTTATTTATCAAGCTTACAATAAAGTTATTTAAAATGGTTTTGAATTTAAATTTATATAAAAAATATGATTTAAATTATGCACTATTATTTAAGTTGTTAATGATAACAGAGTTTTTAATGATAACAGAGTTTGTGTACCAAATATATGACCAAACAATCAATTATTTGGAGTACGAAGTGAACACTGACTTCACGTTTGACCGCAATTCTCGTGCTTATAGTCTAAACCTTTCGATCACTGTTTGCGTGAATAAAGAATATTCTTAAAGAATATTCTGTTTATGAAAATAAAACAATTCGTGAATACATTGAATATATTCGCATGCATAGTAAAATAGGGTCATAAAACTGCTCACAAATAGCACCGGTATATTTAATACATAAGTATCGTTCAAAGTAGACACCCTTTTTTGATTTCCAGAATCATGACAAAGTATTTCTAAATATTTTATTTTGAAAGCTATTCAGAAAACCTTTTAATTATGTTTGACTCTAAAATATAAAATCGGTTATCAAGTTCATATACAAAATAAAAGTGTCGCTAATTATTGTATATTTCATATATTTTATTCAAAAATATTATACAATTTTCAAACATATTTCAAGGGTACTGTATGAATCCATTTAGTTTGCTAGTTAACATTTTCATCATGACTTCATCTCTAACGTTGATCATCGCATATTTCACATTGATAATTTATTATTGATTGGAGTTAAATGAGAAATTTATAAATTAGCAAAACCTGAAATCCAAGGACTGATTCAGTAATAAACACTTATTGCTATATGATTTGTATTCATACTTTTTAGTGTAACTTATAAACCCATTTAAAATAATACTTATTAGTTTTTAATTTTATAGTCAACTTATAACAAACTTAATATGACACTTCTAATTACATCAGATATGACCACAACTATTATTACTATTATCATCGCTTATTTAGTGTATAAATTATCAAAATTCTACTATACTGTTTTCACATTACCACCAGGTCCATTTCCAATCCCGATACTAGGGAATATATTATGTAAGTAACTAAAATCTATTGTAAATATAATATAAATTAATCATATATGGCTTATTAATCATATATGGTTTGTATTGACTAGTATTTCGCACAAACAAACACTGGGATGATGTGTTCAGATCAGCTAACAAACAATATGGACCTGTATTCACGGTATGGTTGGGAACTGTACCCAATGTGTTCGTAACTGACATAGAGCTCGCTCGGGAGGCTTTCCGCAAGAATGAATTCTCGGGAAGAGTTCCCTCTTATTTTGGTATAAATTAAATTATATTTATATTTAATAAAAAGTTGCACATAATATGCATTTAGATGTATAATTAACTCAAACAGGGAGTCACTTCTCAAATGATAAATATAAAGACGTGTTGTTTACCGATTACGGACATACCTGGGAAGCACTCAGAAGGGTGTCCCACTCGGCCGTTCTGTTAGCCTTCAGTTTATAGTCAATTAAATATCGTTTAAATATTTTTCATTTCGTTTTATGTATAGAAAATACTCAACAAATGATAAACTCGTGTATTTAGCCAATGATTGTGTCCAACAAACTGTCAAAACTATGTTAGAAAAGGAAGGGCTGGACAAAGCATTTGTTATAAGAGATTATATTTGTCTTATGTTTCTCAACATATTAGCCAACAGTGCATTTGGTACAAGGTATAATTATTATATCACTAATAATTGTATTACATCAAATACATAATTCATGATTATTGTAATTTCATTTTAGTTATTCTATGGATGACTCAGAATTCAAAATATTAAAATATATATTAATAGACGTACATCGTGAGGTGGGTGCCAGGTTTATTTTATGGGAATTCTCGCCATTGATTAGACTATTGGACAGAAAGCGAGTAAAAAAACTCAATAAAGTGATGGAAAACTTGGTTTTAATTATAAGAAATAAATTCAAATCTCATTACTCGGACTACTCGGAGGCTATTGAGAGAGACTTTTGTGATGCACTCATAACTGCTAAGAATGAGGCCCTCAGAGACCACAAGGAATCGGCCCCTTATTTGACTGATGATAACCTGGCGATGGCTGTGTTTGATCTCTTCATTGCCGGCTCTGAATCCTCGCAAAACACCTTTCAATGGATGGTTCTTCTGATGACATACTATCCAGAAATGCAGCGAAAGTTGAGACAAGAGATTGAGACACAAATCGGAGACCGAATGCCAACACATGAGGACAGGAATCGATGCCATTATGTCATGGCTTTCATCTCCGGAAATGCAGCGAAAGTTGAGACAAGAGATTGAGACACAAATCGGAGACCGAATGCCAACACATGAGGACAGGAATCGATGCCATTATGTCATGGCTTTCATCGCTGAGACAATGAGGTTCAGGATTACGATGCCGACTGGTCTGAACCACAGGGCTGTGGTCACCAGTAAAATAGGTATTAAAATAATTATTTATAAAGTGGACAATATTATAAACAATTGTAATTGTGTTGTTTAAATAGGGAAATATACAATTCCTGAAGATCTGGGGATTTTTGTATATCAGGGCTACATTTGTCGTAATAATAAGGATTGGGTCAAAGGAAATGAGTTCATTCCCGAGAGGTTTCTGGACAGTAAGGGACAGTTCATGACTACCCGTCCAAAGGCGTTCATCCCGTTCGGTGTGGGACGACGTGTTTGTTTGGGCGAGAAGTTAGCCATCGCTGACCTCTTCCTAGTTTTGGTCACATTTCTGCAGTCGACACAAGACTACGATATGATGTCAGAGAGCAGTACTGGTATCGGTGCCGACCCTAACATTTCCATGTCATTTAGTACTTCAGAATATAAAATAACTTTTTCAAGAAGATTACAATCGTCTAGACTTTAAAAATACTCTAATAATTATAACATTACTATTCATTCACTTTATTCATGTTTTTATAAATTCCTTTAAAAATTAAGTTTATTTTCTTTTTGGTGTATAATTTCATTTAATATAATTTTTATAATTATACTTTATTTAGCAAATAATTTGGATTTTATTGTAATATGATAAATTATAAATTTCGCTACTTATTTATAAATTTGATTATTTTGACTAAACACTACCTTGGTGACCTAGTTCATATTATAAGTTTATAATTCTGATGTTTTGATATAATCGGTAAATAGTATAATTTAGACATTAAAAATATTTTAGGGTAATCACTCTATCTTTGGTTATTTTATAAATTATGTGTTTTGTATCAATGATGATTTTTACTTATATCACATTGGTGTTTTATTACTAATTATAGTGATTTTAGTGATATGAATAATTTATAAAATTTTTAAACCTGTATCCCAAGGACTGATTCAAAATATAATATTCAAGACATAAAATAGTATTTAAACGTAATGTGTTTTGTGATACATAATGTTATTTTACCCTTACCTTATAAACACGTTCAAATATTTATGTGACTTATTATTTATAATAAAAATTATATTAATAATTTTTACTGATAAATAAAATAAGTTATTGAAACAATAGCTTTAAAAATTATATTAAATTAGATATGACTTTATTATCTCAGAATGTATCTCTAATAACAACAAATATCACAATTGTTATAACAATTGTGATTGCTTATATTTTATATACACTATCAAAGTTCTATTATAAAGTTTTCAAATTACCACCAAGTCCATTTTCAATACCTCTATTGGGCAATATATTGTGTAAGTAATACAATAATGAAAAATATAGTTTCAATTAATAATATTTAACTAGTATTTCGCACAAACAAACACTGGGATGATGTGTTCAGATCAGCTAACAAACAATATGGACCTGTATTCACGGTATGGTTGGGAACTGTACCCAATGTGTGCATAACGGACATAGATATAGCCCGCGAGGCCTTCCGTAAGAATGACTCCTCCGGAAGAGTTGCCTCTTATTTCGGTATAAATTAAATTATATTTATATTTAATAAAAAGTTGCAAGGTATAAAATATATTAGAATTGACTTAAAAAAGTCTTACAAACACTGAATTCAAAAGGGAGTGTATTTTCAAATGAAAAGGCGAATGACGTCTTGTTTACCGATTACGGACATACGTGGAAAGCCCTGAGACGGGTCGCACATTCAGCCGCACAGTTAGTCCTTATTATTATTTTGTAATTCTTGTAATTCTTGTAATTCTTGTAATTCTTGTAATTCTTGTAATTCTTGTAATTCTTGTAATTCTTGTAATTCTTGTAATTCTCTAATTTATGGCATTATATCTTATGCTTAATAGAAAGTACTCAACAAATGATAAACTCGTGTATTTGGCCAATGATTGTGTCCAACAAACTGTCAAAACTTTCGGTCAAAGGTTAGTCGTATATGAATTAAATAAATATTTAAAAATTGTTTATAACTTATTATAGCTATAGTATGGATGACCCGGAATTCAAACAAATTAAATATGTATTGTCTGACTTTCCAAGTGAAGTTGGCTTTTATTTTGGGAATTCTCGCCATTGATTAGACTTTTAGATAGAAGTTTAGTACAAAAACAGAGGAATGATATAAATATTGTGATTCAATTGATTAGACATATGTTTATCTCTCATTACTCGGACTATTCGGATGATATTGAGAGAGACTTTTGTGATGCACTCATAACCGCTAAGAATGAGGCCCTCAGAGAGGGTAAAGAGTCGGTCCCTTATCTCACCGATGATAACCTGGCGATGACTGTCATCGACCTATTCATTGCGGGCACCGATACCTCATATAAAACTTTTCAATGGCTTTTACTATTAGTCTGCTATTACCCGGAAATGCAGCGAAAGTTGAGACAAGAGATTGAGACACAAATCGGAGACCGAATGCCAACACATGAGGACAGGAATCGATGCCATTATGTCATGGCTTTCATCGCTGAGACACTGAGGTTCAGGAATATAGCCCCACAGGGAGTCCCTCATAGGGCTGTTGTCAGGACTACTATCGGTAAATAAATTTCTTAAGATTAAATAATATTTTAAAGAGTTATTATTGAATAATTTCAGGCAAATATACAGTCCCTGAAAATATGGGAGTTCTTGTGTGTCAGGGAATCATTTGTCGTAATCATAAGGATTGGGACAAAGGAAATGAGTTTATTCCCGAGAGATTTCTGGACAGTGAAGGCAGGTATATGACTACCCGTCCAAAGGCGTACATCCCGTTCGGTGTGGGACGACGTGTTTGTTTTGGTGAGAAGTTAGCCATCGCTGACCTCTTCTTAGTTTTGGTCAGATTTTTGCAGTCGACTCAAGACTACGATATAGTGCTCGACAGTCACAGTGGTATTGATGCCGACCCTAATGTTATCGATTCTTTAAGTGCTTCTCCATATAAAATAGTACTAAAAAAATAAGTCAATAAACATTTGTAGAATTATAGTATTATATTCATTGTATGGCAAATAGTTAGTTTATGTTTATAAAAAGTATTTTTTAAATATTAATGAATAATCATAATTGTAAATGATATATAAAAACATAATAAAAATATAAAATCAATATACTTACTTATAAACAATTTAACTTTGCTCAAAAATATTGCATATCCATTAATTAATAAATTACAAATTTTATATCATTACTTATTATTTATAACATAAATTTAGCAAAACTCTTGGATTACAATATACAACTAATATCTGCATGTATTCATATATTAACAAAAATATTATATAATTTTGTTTTAAATTAAGAGGCTTAAAAATAATACCTTTGAGCAATATTAATTAAATCAAATTTAAATAAATCAATTTAAAATTATATTACTAAACTTCTCAGAAAATGCAGGATATGTTAAAAATAATATCTACTTTTGTAATAATGTAAACATTGAATGTTTATACTCTATGGTACTATTCGGTAACACTGTCCTTAATGTACCCGAGATAATCAACAGTACACTTATTAATATGTTATGCTATATACTATGCTACTTATAGTATAAATAAATTCTGTTTATAATTAATTGAACTGTATTATACAGATATCAATCAGTATATTAATATGGTATATAAAGTGTTGAATTGTTTTATTTATTTCATATAACTTAAATATTAAATTATACTAAATATTAATTTAAATAGGTTTTAAAAATATTTGTATGTTAACAATATTTGCGTTTACAGTATAATTCATATATTCTATAATTATATTGTAAACAATGGGATAATCAGAATTTACAGACAACTGTAATTATGATAAGATATTGCAATCCCATCCATAAAGTGACGACATTTGATTTCAAGGATATTTAAAACTTTATTTTAGGGGTATATAAGGAGGAGAAAATTTTATTTATAAGTATTTAAAAGTTATTTAAAAAATATCCTTTTAGAAGTTTCATTAATAAATCTTATACATATAGTAATTAAAATGTCTATATTATCGCAATTATTGTCACTATTTGCGACAGATATTCGCACGTCTATAATAACCCTGACAATTGGTTATATAGTGTATAGAATAGCTAAATTCTATCACTTGAGATCCACTTTGCCTCCCGGGCCACATCCAGTTCCTTTATTGGGAAATATATTGAGTAAGTATTTATAATATAGTTGTTATAAGTCTTACAAACTAATAAATTAATTATTAAAATAAAATTAAAAACAGTGTTCAAATCGAAACTCCATTTCGATGATGTGCTCCGGAATGTGGCCAAGAAGTACGGCCCGGTATTCACGTTTTGGTTGGGAAACGCCCCCCACGTGTTTGTTACGGACATAGATATGGCTCGCGAGGCGTTCAAGAAAAATGACATTGCTGGCAGGACTGAATCATTTTTCGGTATCCTAATCATTTATTTTCAATTTTAAAACAAAAAGTATCGAAATAATATATCCCTATGAAATAGGATCTCAAGTATCCAATGACACGATGAAAGACGTTGTATTTACCGATTACGGACATACCTGGGAAGCTCTTAGAAGGGTCGCCCACTCGGCCGTACAGTATGTGTCAAATTGTTTAAAAATTTAGATACTGTATTGACAATCATTTATAAATTATTAAATCAAATCTCATCCCAAAATTAAATTGATTTATAGAAAATACTCGTCAAACGATAGGCTGGCATACGTGGCCACCGATTGTGTGGACCGGACGGTGAAGACTATATTAGATAAGGAAGGAGTGGGTAAACCCTTTTCGCCCATCAGCTACATATATCTCACATTTCTCAACATATTAGCCACCAGTACGTTTGGGCAGAGGTAAGCATTGAATAATAATTTATACCTGAACATATATTTATTTCTTACTTTACTGAATATGATTATATGAATAGTTATGATTTGGAGGACAAGGAGTTTAAGGATTTGAAGTATGTTTTAAGTGATTTTGGTCGAGAGGTCGGACCTCGCATTATTTTGTGGGAATTTTCACCGATATTTAGACTAATAGACAAAAAACGAGTCAATCAAATGAGGAAATTATTTAAAGACACCGCAGAACTCATGAAACATAAATATATTTCACATCAGAAAGACTACTCGGAGTCAATTGAAAGGGACTTTTGTGATGCACTCATAACCGCTAAGAATGAGGCCCTCAGAGAGGGTAAAGAGTCGGCCCCTTATCTCACCGATGAAAACCTGGCGATGACTATATTTGATCTGTTTTTCGCCGGAACCGATACATCCCAACAGACATTTCAATGGTTACTCATTTTGTTGTCGTATTACCCGGAAATGCAACGAAAGTTGAGACAAGAGATTGAGACACAAATCGGAGACCGAATGCCAACACATGAGGACAGGAATCGATGCCATTATGTCATGGCTTTCATCGCTGAGACACTGAGGTTCAGGAATATAGTGCCTCAGGGCTTACCTCACAGGGCTATTGTTAGGACTACTATTGGTAAATTAATTTAACAAAATTGGATAATATATATTTATTTATTTTTAAATTTTTTTTGGATAAATCCCAGGTAAACATACCATTCCTGAGAATATGGCGGTTATTGTATATCAGGGCTACATTTGTCGTAATGATAAGGATTGGGAGAAAGCAAATGAGTTCATTCCCGAGAGATTTCTTGATAAACAGGGAGAGTTCATAACTACCCGTCCAAAAGCGTACATCCCGTTCGGTGTGGGACGACGTGTTTGTCCCGGAGAGAAGTTAGCCATCGCTGACCTCTTTCTAGTTTTGGTCAGATTTCTGCAGTCGACTCAAGACTACGATATAGTCCTCGACAGTCATAATGGTATTGATGCCGACCCTAATATAGTCGACGCTTATTCCCCTCCAGAATATAAAATACTATTGAAAATTAAAAGTCAATAACTTATGTTG